AGTGAGAAAAGGGAAGAAAAACGTGGAGGATGAGAAGCCTAAAAGAATTAACAGACCTGCATGGAATATAAAGGGATTGAGCTATGCTTTCCAGGTATGATTTAGTTCAAAATTAGTGTTTGTAAAATTTAAGTTCGTAACTAAGTACTGACTTTGATAATCTATTTGTTGTAGATTTGGGCGTATGAATTAATGGGAATTTCCCCCCTTAGATATTGTAGGCGGATCGAGGAAACTGCATTAGTCCCTCGAATTTGCCGGTGGGAATCCACAGATAAAGTGCCTGAGTTTAGAAAGCTGAACGCTTATATATTTCAAAGCAAACAGGTGTGTAGTTAATAATTGATTTCAATAGTATGTTGGTTTCATGAGGAAAGCTGTTTACTATTGTATATGACCTGTTAACTATATATACTTGACAGCCTGTTATACTGCGGCTCTTATGACCACGTGAATTGGAGATGAGGCAACCATATTGGAGTTGGGGATCAGTTGTTCCTGAATGTGATGCACCTAGTGCAGGCCCGCGGGTATGTAAGGACCTTGATGAATTAAACTCTGTTGTACAGCAGTTGAGGAATGAGGTTGCACTATTGCACCGTGAGAAGGGTGAGCTGGAGGAGAGAGTTTTACGCTTGGAAAAGTGTACCAATCATGCAGACGCCAGCCCTTTTGAGTATGATGGAGAGGAGAGACTTAAGACTGAGGATTCTGGAGAGGAGAGACATGAGACTGCGGATGCTGGAGAGGAGAGACATGAGACTGAGGATGCTGGAGAGGAGAGTGATAAAACCGAGGAAGGTGGAGTAGCCGAATCGAGAGAGGAGTGTGTACAAAATGCGAAAGAAGAGGTGCAATATACAACCCCGGATATAAATTGGGATGATCCAGATGTGGTGTGTGTCACCCTTGTTAAATTCCTTATGTGGCGAAGATGTTATAGTTGGGGTGGGGCGAAAGAGGGGTCGGGGAAGGAGTCGGACGGTTGGTCCTGTGACGAAGAGGGCAAGGGCAGTGGTAAGGGAAACTCCATGGCAAGGTCAGGAGATTCCCAATATTTCGAAGGACCCAATTGCTGACCCCCTAAGGCCTGTTCCTCGTGATTCCCTTCTGGAGGTGGCAAAATTCTGCTGGGAATGGGGACAAGAAGTAAAGTAAGTTCCCTTTGCCCGTCCTTAGTGAAATATAAATGGTTTATTATGATTACCTATTGAGTCACTGGTGAAACGGAATTGATAATAACAATGATTGACAAATATAGTTCACATGTGCGGTTATGTGGAGACGAAGCTATGGAAGGTTCGCATAACTTCTTTGTTCGGTTGCTGACCAAGGACGGTTGGTTGGATGACTCGGTAAGCATTGATTGATTTGGGATTTTGTCGATAAGCCCTTACTATGTAGTAATTGATTGATTTAATAATGGAAACAACCCTTTTATGTAGAACATTGACACGGCCTTGCATTTGCTACATGACGGCACAACAGGTCTGGCAAGTGGGCGGGTTCTGACTGGACGATACTGGACACCACTTTTCAAGTCTGTATTATTTCATAAGCATTGTTTGTTTTGAAATTCCGTATCCGTTATGATGCATAACTCGTGAGCCACTATGCAGAAATGTGCTGCCTTAGATTACACGCAAATGAAGTCGTATATTGGAAAGGAGGAGAGGAAGCACAGCAACGGTCTAGTGGGATTGGTGAAGGGCGAAGGGCATAAGTTGGCTAAATCATGGGGGTCTGTGAATCAAGTTTTTTTGCCCTTCAACCTAGAAAGGCAGAAGCACTGGATCTTACTTGTTATCGATTTAAAAGAGTGTGAGATAAGGGTATATGATTCAAAAGTAGATCTGTGCAGAACTCAAGCCATCCAACGGGCTGTGCAGCCGGTGTCCAAAATACTGCCCCGATTGTTACACGAAGCTAGATATATAGGCGGGTGAGTCATATTCGACCTAAACACATTGTGTTATGAAAGTGCGCTTTTGTTGTACAATGAATAACAGCTGCTTCGCTATGTTTCAGGGGCGACTGTGGGATGTACATTTTCAAATACTGCGAGTTTCTGACCTCCAATGTTGAACTAGCGAATATTTCCCATCATGCCATGCCCTTGTATCGGTTGAAGCTCGCAGTGCAGTTGTTGCAGGGATATTAACGCATGTGCTTAATTAGGAGAGGCAATATGACATAACTGGGTGGGTGTAGTATACGAACTTGCAAACTTCATTTCACTGGGTGGGCGGTTTGTAATTATGTAGGTAACAGTATTTGAACTGAAGAAATTCATATAGCTTGGTATTGGCTCAATTCGTGAGATAGAGAACTAACCTTTCTATCATATAAGGGAAGCTCGAAGAGCTTTCTTCGCATGCTTGAGGGCATCCTTCCCGTTTGTACGAAGGTTTTGAAAAGGTAGTTTTGAATCTTACTTGTTAATGAACAAACTCTTCTTTATTATCCAACTACCCCTTTTGACTTAAAATTAAACAATAAGTTAATTTTATTGGGTTCAAATACAACCTGTACGAAACCGTCAACACATGTTGTTGATACTATGCTGAACCATAAACCGTAGGCCCTGCCACACTGTGTTTTCAAATGTGGAATAAATAGGAATGTTTCTTGTTAACGGCAAACAAGATTGTGAAGGTCAAGATGCAGGCATATCAAACATTCAAAAATTCATTTCCTAATTATGCTCAATGATTAATTCATAATAATAGATTTGCAAACACTTCTTCATATTTCATAACTGTCCGGATTAGAAAATTACAAAATATATACTTGAAAAGCCAAAACAGAACACAATTTATAAATATATACTTGAAATAGCTGGAAGATTTCCAGACGCAAAAAGTTTCTTACTTCTTCATCACTTGAACTGCCAAATTCAGAAATGATAGAACTAACAACA